AGGCAAGTTTTCTTGACCACTGAGCCATTTCTGCAACTCACAAAAAAATAAAACAACAGTTTTCATACCAACCTGAACATGGGAACTGTATTTTGCTTATCTCAGCATCCTCAATATCCAGCTCAATTTCCAGCAAATTTGTACCCAATAAGTATTTGCAAAGCTATCCCAAAAGATGCTTCTTGAAGTTGGTCATTGATTTTACAGAGCTGGAAGAAGTTACTGTTGGTGACATGGCAAAAATATCAAATATTCAGCAGTGTCTGGTAAAACAAAATGCTAAAAATGTGTCTTTCTGAATTAAAAGGACCACATGGTGGGCAGAATAACTTGGGACTTTTCTATTTGGCGAAGGCACTCCAGTAATACAGTATCAAAGAGAAGAGCTACCAGGCTGTCTTGACTGATTCCAAGATTATTCATGGCATATCTGGGTCATAGCTAACAATCAAAGCCACATGGTCCTTGGTTTTCTCATCTGCAAATTGGGACAGGGCATTCACCAGATGTCTGTGCCAATGGAAAATTGTCAGTGTGGCTAGAGGCCATCTGTCTAGTGCCAAAGGCCATTCAAGAAGAGCCATAAAGAAAGTTGGGCACTCTCCAACTCACCACAGAAGCCAGACTGTTGTACACAATAAAGTCCTTGCTTCGGAACACTGGCGCCGGGCCAGATCACGTGGTCGATCCAATCGCCATTTGGTTAGGGGTATGCGATATCCTTTCCATAGTACCTTGTTGTAAGGTTCAATTATTTGAGGTGTGACCATACAGGAAGTCACAACCACTAAATCGACTCGTAGATAAGGACCCGCCATGCAGCTGTCGGCCATATTTGCAGATGATGGCTGGGAATCCGGGGAGATGAAATGTGGTACGAATCTAGCTGCTGTTTTGATAAGGGCAGCAGGACCTGTCTTCTCCTTGGAAAAATAGAAATTGGCAAAGCTTGAAGGGCTCCCTGCTGTACACGAACTTGGGAAACAAAAACGTAAAAGGAAGATCGATTGAAACAGTCTCTTGATTGGAATCCGATGGCCCCGTTCGTGTGGATGAAGACTCTATAGCAAGCTATTGCTCTTATTTGTTATGATGGTTTCTTTGATGGCTCCCATTTGAAAGAAGAAGAAATCAAAACTAAGAGAGCCTAAACAACTGGACCAGCTCTCTAATCCTTGCAATGCAGCCTGATGCAAACTAAGCTATCTTACTCTACAGGAGCATTTCGCTTTACTGTGCAGCCTTCCCCAGAGGAAAACTGTGCAGAAGGATGAAGTCACACTCACTCGCTCGAGAAGTGGCCTTAGCCCTCTCGGTGTAGAAAGGAATGCAGGCGATTTCTCAGAGACAGCAATGGAGTTTAATATTATTTGTGAACTTACCCATTTTGTCTTGGAGTCCATTATCCTAGCTGGATTTAAGTGATTTCATATATTTTAAAATGTAATATCATAGTACTTCTCTTAAATATGCAGTGGTTCTTAACCACAGATTCTCACAAACTCTATTGACTATCTGCGGAGAAACACACACACACACACGTATATATACAATTTTTATATAATAAATTAATGGACACTCTCTAAAATTATCCTGGCTTACCTACCATTGCTTCAAGGTCAACAAATCTCTCTATATAGATCTAATTTATGAAAATTTCCAGGCCACATGAAATTTTCACAGCCTAGGGATTATTAAACCTGTAGACTACCAGCTTTTGTAATTACTAGTTAGCTAATATTTGCATTGGTGACAATTCTTATATTAAAAGGTCATTAGGATTTTCTGTCTACCTCACATTAATTTTATGCTTATATGATATTGATCCCTAAATTGTGACTATGTGGCGGAGTTTGTATATTTCTTGTATTCAATATTTGTTCCTGAAAATTATAGATAAAAATACTTGGAGATGAATCTCATACAATAGAACAAATTGTTATCGAAAAGAATTTGTATTTATCTACTATGTATAACATTATTCTAGATTCTGTTATATGGTTTATTAAGCTAAAGAACCTTTCCTCTAGTCTTAATTTTCTAAGAACAATCTTAAAATTATAAGAAGGTATTAGATTTATAAAATTTGCTTTATGCATTGGATAATTTTATGAGTTTTCTCTTAGGATTCATCAGTGTGGTGAGTTCCATTGATAAGCCTTCTAAGAGGAAAGCCATCCTAGCATTCCTTAACCATATGGAGATATATGATCCTCATTCTATCATTATTTATCATTACTTCTTAACATACTATAGAATAATGCAAAATAATATTTAGGAGTTTTGAATGTATGTTTATGAGTTTTCTTAAGTTGACATCATAAATGTGGGTACACTAAAAACATTGCCGAAAATTACCTTCAGGGGGTGTGGAAGATGTATACGTGCACAAATGAACTTGGGTTTCATATCAAGATGGTTCATTATATATTTCGGTGTCCCAAAATCTGAAAATAATCTGGAATTTGAAATGCTTCTGGCCGCACACATATCAGATAAACCTTGCTTGGCCTTAGTGTTCCTTTTTGTACAAGAGAAGCAGCAGCACAATTAGATGCCCCCGAGTCCCTCTAGGACCGTTCATCATGGCATTACATACAAAATATAATTTACATAAATTATATTTTTTGGACTTGTGCAAGTGTGATGGTATTTTGTTCTGGAGGAATTTCCTTTTCCCGACTTTAAGAAAATTCCTGTACTGAACTTGATCCAGGTATCTGATGGCCTGCTGTTCTAGCATTTCTTGCACTGTCCTCCCAAGTACCACTTTTCAGTTGAATACTTCCTCCAAGAACAATTTTAATGTGGGCCCTAAGATATTTTTGTTATGCTACAATATTTGAATGGCAGTTTGGCTTGCTTTAAAGAGACAGGTTCCGTGTTCACGTCAATATTTTACAAATATTTCCTCATTGTCTGAATCTATAATTTTGCTGTGAGGAAGTTCTCTGCCATAGTAAGCTGGTATTTATATTGCTCTGGGGAGCGTGTTATGCTAGACCCATAGAGTCAAATAGAAAAAAAAAAACTTTCTTTTGTGGCCTCAGAATAAGACAGAGCACCATACTGTGAGCAACAACACAGGAGATGCCCAACCAGCTCTACATCCCCCAAGACATCTGGAGAGCCACTTCATTTTATAGACATAGAAACCGAGATGAGAACAGTTATGTGGCATATTTAAGGGGGCTCAGACAGTGAGTGTCAGAGCGTTGATGGGACTCCTATCTCCTGGAGCTGAGCCAGGCCTGATGGGTGGAAACTTCTCAGTAATTCGGCCCAAGGCTCCATGACACTGCCACCTACTAGGTTGTGGTATGTAGTCCCTACAGCATGGTTTCTTCATCATACTGAGCTCAGAGGTCTTTGAGTGGGGACTGTTAATCCATCCAGCAGGGAGTCTTCTCTGTTGAGTTATTTTACTATGTTGCATGTGTTTCTCCTTGAGAGCTGCCCTCAAGCCAACGACCCATTAGAGGCTGTAATTTATAACTCCATTAGGTGAAGTCCTACTGGGGGTTAGCATACTCTGGGTGCTATATAAAGCACAAAGGTAAAGCCTCCTTGAGGTGCCTACGGAGTCCTGTGACAGTTCACCATCATGTAAACAACAGGCATAGTGCTCTAAGAACAGAGAAAGGGGGACTGATCATTTCTGGGCCAGGAGTTTCGGTGAGTCACAGAATTCTTTCATCTGCTAAGGTGCTATTTGAGTAGGGTCTTGAGGAAAGAAGGGGTGCTCTTCAGATGGGGAAGGCAGTGAGAGAGACTCTGGAGGTGAGGCCAGTAGTTTAAATTGAGCATGCATCTGGAGATGGGAGGGCTCAGTTGTGGGAGGCTTTCTGTGTCTCCGCTCTGTGAGTAAAGGAGAAGCCTTCTTCTAGTGGGACTGGAGGCTGAGCCCAGGCCTTACACAGGCCAGACAAGTGCTTCATCACTGAGCTACAGGCCTTTAGGTGAAGACTTTGAGATCTGGAGAATGGCAGGGTCAGACCAAGAATGTATTAGATCCTTCTAAGGCACCATGGAAGGCAAAGCAGCAAGGTCTCTGGGCTACCCCTGGGGTCCTAACCATCTGATCTTAACCCCAGAGCGAGTGGGTCACTGGAATGGAGTATATGAGCATGTGGGTTTCAGATACACAGAGGCAGAAGGTAGCCTCCTTCTGTCCACGCTGCAGATGGTTAGTCCGTTATTCTGTCAGTCAGACTGGGGTCCTGGGAGAGAAGCCCTGGTCCTCCTAAATCTACAAGTCATTTTGGGAAACAGTCCCAGCGTCGCTTAAGAAACCAGTGTCTCCTTTTCTTGTTTGAGTGAATTCTCTGTGGACGCCTCAGCCATCTGAACCAGTGACCCCTGGATCTAAATAATCTTGCCATTTGGCTGTGGACTGGGGCGAGGGGAGGAGCCGTTAAATTTCAAAGTGGAATAAACAGAAAAGCAACACTAAAAGGATGGGGAGGCTGTGTAGTGGAGCTTGAAGGGAGGACAGGTGTTTCCTCCCACGTTGAGAATAGTGACCCCTGGGAATCGCATTTCCCGTTGAGCGGGCACCCATGGTGAGGCGAGTCCTGTAAATGGCCGGGTAGTGTGGAACTGTGTGTGAGCGCCAGAGAAAGTCCGCTGTTTTCTAGATGGTCTCTCGGACCCCTAGTCACATAAGGAGCTCTGAGCCTTGGCCTCATATTCCACTCTTTGTGTTCATCCAGACCCTCACACTCTGTGGCTACCCAACGCTCCGTGGCTGTGGACAAATGGCAGTGGCTTCATGTCTTGTGCAGTATTTAGTCCCAGCTGGCTGGCTCTGGTGTGTAAAACACTCTTCAGCCAGCGGGGGCCTTTGGGGTGCACACAGTGGGGTGACAGGCAGTGTTGCCGAAGAGAAAGCACAGCCCTGCCTGGGGTGGGAGGATGTGTGATGACGTGGCCCCACTCAGCGGGAACGCAGGCCTTTAAAAAGCTGAAGAAACAGCCTCAGAGTAAACGGTGGTTCCACAGGAGGAAAGCACACCCAGTCACATTAAAGAAGCCAAACTGTCTGCTTCAAAGAGAAAAGGCAACATCCTGTCGCAGGCCATGCTCTGGCAAAAATGTAAGTGGTTTGCTTGTGGCTGTCAAAGCCAAGCAGGCAGAGGCAGGCTCCAGGACTAGAGAGCTGCTGGCGGGGATGGGAGTACAGGGTTTAGGTTGAGGGCCTGGGGAGCGTAGACGGCTGAGGTGGGCGAGATGGAGCTGGATGGGAAAACCAGTCTGTCGGAGGTGATGCTCATTTTCCAACTTGGGGGAACGAACTAGTGTCCCAAGGTGGGACAGCTCATTGCCTCTCCGGTTCTGGGCATGAATCACTGAGGTGAGGAAAGGGCAGTTTATGATTCATGAGACGGAAACCACAGATGATATGGGTTTGGAGCAGTTCTTCACGTGAGGGCCTTTGCTTTCACGGACACCTGCTCTTCCGCTTGTTCAGTTCTGTGGGTCCGTTTCGACCCGAGTTCGGCCAAAGGTGGTTCCCTCCTGTGGACGTGCTGGGATGGGATGGAAGCCCAGTTGTGGGAAGCCTGTCTTCGCTGCTTCTCTCTGGCTTCTTCCTTTTTTATGTGGCGTGGCTAGTTCTGTGTTCCGCTGCAATGGGCCCGTGGGTTTATCTTTGACCTTGATTTTTATCCCTGGAGTTGAACGGAACAACTGTGAGCTGTATGTTCCGTTCTGTGGATTGAAAAGAATCGTATGTTATTGATAATGGAACCCACACGGACATTATCTACAACATTCCTTTCATGTGTTAAACAAAGTCAACTGAATAATCTCACAGAAGTCGAACTGCACTTCCTCAAGTAAAGCTATTATCAACCAATTTTCTTATCTTTCTTTGTTAGAGGATTAATTCCATAAAATGCCTTTCGTTTAAGTGTACCATTCCTCAATCAAATTTATATGATAATCCAGATTAAAATTAAAAGAAATTTTGGAGGGTTTATTTTTAAAAAGAAAATCTGAAAATATCACTTCATTGATTAAAATGTGACAGGCGTTATCACTAACTCATCGTTTTATTTCTCAATCCCAAGTTCTCTGGAATTGATTTTTGTTATTCATAGGTGACTCAGAGGAACAATTTCACCATCTCTCAGTTTACAAAGTCCTATCATTGATAATCAACGAGATTTCATTTTTAAAAACAAAAAGAAATTAGCCTTAATTTGAATTCAAGAGTTGTAACCACCTCTTCTAGTTCGGGTAGCACGGGACTCGTGCCAGAAGGTGACCAAAGTAAAACGTTGTTCTTCTGGAAGCCGAGTGTCAGTCACACCATTGGAAATGCTGCAAGGACCTAGGCAGATGGGTCTGAATGTCTTCTGGAGCCTTTCTTGCTTGAAGTTTTGTGTGAGCACTTTTATTTAAAAAAAAAAAAACCTCTTAGAGTTTGCATATTTAAAATGGGGGTAAGAATAATCCCACTGGGTTTAGCTGCCCCTAAGACACGGATGGTGCCACCAGAATGTTGCCAGTTGCCCTGACTTGGCATTAGCTCCTAAGGTGTGGGCTGCTTGCCTACAATGAAGAAGCTGCCATGGTCTCTCAGTGTTGCTGCCCACTGTGTTTTTCTTCTCCAGTGCCTCTTGGGAGATGAACAGATTTTTTTTTTTTTTTGAAAGTTGTTGGAGGGCTTGCTTCCTGCTCATACCACCGGGCCAGCCAGGTAGACCAGAATGCACTAGAACAGTGAGAAGGAAACATTCTTGTAAACTGCCCTTGGGGACCTTGGAGGAAATGAAGAAAGGCCTTGTGCACCAGACCTATCCCTTTACCCTGGACCCAAGGTCATCTGAATAAGACTTGTGGGAAACCCAGTAAAATCAAGGCAGTGCCATCAGCCCACTTAGAGTTGCAGGCTGAGATCACAGGGTTTGCGATCAGACACCCGGAGTGCTGAAAAGGCACTTTCTTTTTTCAGAAACCACCCTTCAGGCGGGAGCTGAAATGACTGTACCCAGGGTTAGGAAAGAGTTAAGAAAACAATCGTAGTGCACTTGCTGCCTCCTCCCTGCTTGGCCGTGAATTCCTATGAGTGGACTCACGGTGAACACAGGCTTTAGTTCAGAAGAGAGAGCAGTGTGCCAAAGCTCAGACCTGTCGACACTGAGATACGGAAGCCTGGAGGTCCCAGGTCTGGGTGTCATCTGGATGGAGAAGTTGGTCCATCTGCAGACTTTCTCCTTCTACCCTGCACTGGTCATCCCTGTCTCGTGTAGAGGAACTAGGACAGGATGGTAGGACCAGCTTGGAACAGCTTGAGCACTAGACCGAGACAGGGCTGGCTCTGACTCTTGGCCTCCGACTGAGTAATCTCACCTCTTCTCACTCTTACCGTGGGGATTTGAACACCTGCCTCACCAAGTCTTTGTGAGGATTAAAGTAGAGCCTGTACCTGCCTTTGGCCAATATGCCTGTACTTACTGGGGGCATCAGCTTGGGCTTTATGTTAACCGTTGGTTATAGGACATTCTATTTTGTATGCAAGCAGTTTCCATAAAGTTTGCTCTTCCTCGGCTAAGCTAAAAAAAGTAAGTTAGTATACAGAGTATGTATTTCATCATGGCATCGTCATATATGTGTCATACTTTGCTCTCATCTGTCCCCCACCCACATCCTTTGCTAAACTTATGTTGATGTAATTATTACAACACTCCATTATAAAATGTTAACTGTAACAATTAAATTTCACATGAGTTAGCAGGCCAGCTGTCTGGCAACTTTTAAAACCGTAAGTTTGCTCAAAGTGACAAAACCCAGGAAAATGATATAAAATTGCATTGAGCATGCACGAGGTTAGAGACTGAATTCGGCAAGGCACTAGCTTGCTCAAACATGAAACACTAACTTCTAAAGCAATTTGATTTACACATTTTCAAATGGAAATGACCAATATTACATGAGTGGAAAAATGTGTTTTTCAGTTCTAGGCCATATTTTAAACTCTTATTAAAGTTTCAAGAATCTGGAGATTATTTTAACTAGATGTTAATGTTTTATTGAAAAGTTGAACATAGAAAAAAAGAATGTAGGTAAAGTGGACCTCATGTGCCCAATAAGCAGCCACAGTGGTCAGTTAATGCCTTCCTTCTTCTAACGTGCCATAAGCCTATATCTGGCCCATCAGGTTGTGCCAACATCCTTCTTGTATATCTTTTCCTAACCTCCAAAGAGTTCTGCCCAAATATTTTTGAGTGATAGAATTTAGCTGCGTTCTCCAAAAGTCTACGACACAAGTCTTCTAATATGGCCCGTGTGCCAAATGCTGCTTATTGTCTATCTTTATAATAAAGTTTTATTGGAACACATCTGTGTTTCTTGATTGGAATGTTTTGCAGGACTGCTTTTGTTATATCAGCAGAGTTGTATAGCTGTAATGTTAGTGTGTGAGCCTATCTGGCTCTTTAGAAAAAGAGTTTGCTCACCTCTTCGCTTAGATGCCTGGTTGGTACTTGAGGCCTTCATTTCCCCGGGTTACTTGGCTTCTTGGTCTTGTATAGTGTTAGCATTAATGGTAGACAAAGCATGTGATCAATTCATTCAGTAGTTTGTTAATGACAAAAAAAATCTAATTGATTAAAAATTTTCCCGAGAAGTGATGAAACAATATGTAATAAATTGAGTATCACTTGTTGGAAACGGGAGAAAAACTAAAAAATGAGATTTTTATCATTGTATTAGGGAAAGATCTGTGAGAGTGAAAGGCAGGATTAGCTGATTTTTCTTCATACTGACTGGTTGTCTCAGGTCCTGTGGTGTTGGCCATGTTGTCACTGTAGTTAAGGAAAGGGGCACCTTAGATACAGGAACTAGTTACTACCAAATCATTATATCCATGTGCCTTTGTCAGACATCTGGAACAGATAAGAAAGGTTTAACAGACAGACTAGGGACTCATAACTCCCACTATTAATGAATTCTACTTTTAAAATTTATCTTAGGGTTTCACTAACTTGGAAATATATTGTTAAGGGTAATTAAAGACTAAGGGCTATACATGTGAATTTTGGAACCTTGAAACTATCTCATGCATAAATTCAGATATATTTAGAGCAGGAAGTAATTTAAACTATGTGGACAACCTCTAACTTTTCCGTTCTAAGACGCAGCCTTTGTTTAATGAGCTCAGTAAAGACCTTCCCTTACCGAGCTTGTGTACTGAGTTCTTACTGCTAACAAGAGGGATCCGAAGGAAAGATGTAAATTCATAGGCTCTTTATGTGGAGGTAGACTGGGGAAGACACACATCTTTGAGGGAGAGATGAACAGATCTCTAATAAGCCCGGGCAGAGAACCAACGACAGACCAAAGTCATAATTCTACCCAAGAGCAGGTTGGTGAAATTATGGGTTTATATGGCTTATTTATAGAAACATGGGTGACTCCCAAATATCTGTATCACCAAAACTTCCTACCCTAGCATAGGTAATGACTCCCCTAAATCTGTGCAAATTGAGCCCCTTTACTCAGTCCTTTCTTTCCCTGTTTAGTCTAGCACCTCCTGAGACTAGTTCTCACTGGGAAAGAATGACATACAACTGGAGGGTAGGGGCCCGAAATGAGTGAGTGAGGGGCCTGATCCGGTGGTGTCTAGTGGCTTTTCCTCCCTGATGGAGGAGGGTCATCTTTCTATCTGTTGTTTCATTGGTTAAGGTTTTTAAGTGGATTTAGTCCATCACGTTGGAGCGCCACTCTGTTGAGATAGGAGGGGCGGGCTACGTTCCTGGCACCCAGCCGCCCACACGGCTAGCTTTATACCCCAAATAATTACACCTCCCCTTGACTTCTGTGGTAGAATGCGAAAAAGCTCAGTCTTGTGAAGGTCTTACTGAGATGGGAATGTAATACCCAGAAAACAGTGTTCCACAACACAAGAATACAGTTTTATTGGCAAAAGAGTAAATGATTTCCATGGTGAACATTTTCCTCGTCTTCCTATTTTACTGAAGAAAGATGTCAAATATGTATCCCTAATTCTCAATTACCAGCTCAGGAGTACTGAAGTACCATCTCAGAAGTACTAGCTCATACATGCAAATCTGTTCTTTTATGAAAAGT